GTAAAAGTTGGTAGAAATCATCTCTTTCTTCTTCTTTGGCTCTGGTTGTTGGTGCATATATCTGAATGATAGTGGTATTCACTGGACTTCCTTGTAAGCGTATGGATATAATCCTGTCACTCACGATGTTGTACTTCAAGATGGATCTAGAAATTACTTTTTTTACTATGAAGGCAACCCCATTTTATTACACATGGTTCCAAAAATGTCAACTATTGTCAAAACCATTCTGACCCAAAGGGGAAGCAAAGATTGGGTTTATATTCAGAGACTGAACATGGGAGTTACACAAAGTTCATTGTGGTTGGCAGTTGAGCTTTCTTTACATTTAGGAGTCATTATTGTTTCTGATTTCTCATGAGTATCTACGCCCTGGGTCAGGTACAGGAAGTAATCAGGAAGTAGTAACCAAGCTGGGTCAGCATGTACTGGGAAACATAAACCTTAGAAACATATATTATTGCCAAAATTATTAAGGCCTACATTTCTGAAAATGACTGATAGAACAAAACGGCTCTCTAATGCTAACATATAAAATGGTTTTTCTAATGCTTAGCATATAAGCTTCTATTATAATAACATCTGTGCTGACCATCTAAGGACAGACTGTCTATTTTGGGGAGTTGTTGGTAGACAGAGAGGAACAAGACTGGAGTTCCCAACCTGGAGCATAAGTCTGAGACACAGCTCCCTTTCTGTTCTAGGAAGAGGAACTTTTGCAGTAGCATCTAGAAGGGGTGGCACCTTAGCACATATGGTGACATAGCTGCAAAGGTGGATCACATCCCTGTCCTTGCTCTAGTGATTCCGTCTGCAGATCTGTCACTGCAGGCATCGAGACCTCGGGTAAAGCCAACATGAAGTTTATGCTCAACAGAGCCCTCACTATCAGGAGCATGAACAGCATCAACGTGGACATGACTGGGGAGGCAGGAGAGGAGAACTTCATTTTTGGCATGTGGGTGGAAGATGTGGAGCTGCTGTACCAGAAAGGATGTCTGCATACCATTCCTAGCCTGAAAAGGGCACTGGGAAGCGCCCGGGGACAATGCCTAGGCTGGCATACAGTTAGGTGTGGCTTGACAGTCAGGGGACAGGCAACCATTTCAGATTGGCCTCAGCTTTCGCTGCTGTTTCCATGCTGCTCTGACTACTAATTCTGCTAGGCTCAAATAGTTTATAGAACAGGCTTTCCATGGATACACCTTCCTCCAGTGGTATGCAGAGTACTTATCCCCCAGTCCCTGGAGGAGATAACTTCCCTCCCAGGAGGGTCGCTGGGCCATCATACAAGGTAGACGGCTTCCAGTTCCCTCTTATCATTCACAGTGGGGATGATACATACCTGTTATCAGTATACATAGCTGGCATCCGATACCACTAGTTATCTAGTACTGCTTTAATATGTTGTTAGGTGCCATGGAGTTGACTATGACTCTATAAGCAACAATCAAAATCTTGATCTATCCTGAGTCATCCTCACAATCTCTGTCAGGCTCAAGCAAGTTGTAGTCACTGTATTAATCTATCTCGTTGAAGGTCTTCCTTTCTGTCTCTGAACAGCCTTTCACCTCCACCTTTCTCATCATAGTGTCTTTTTCCAAGATCTGATTCCCCTTAACATGTCCAAACTATGGTGAGATGAAGTTTCACCACCCTTATCTCTAAGGAGTAACCTGGTCACACTTATTCCAATACAGATTTGTTCATTTAGCTGTGCATGGCATATTTAATACTCTTTGGCAACACCACAATTCCAAGGCTACATTGTTTTTTTATCTTCCCTACTGATTGTCGGTCAGATACTTGGAAGAAAATGGAAGATATAATGGCTTGGATCAAATACATAGTCCTTAAACTGACTTCCTTGCTCTTAAGAACTTTGAAAATGTCATTTATAGAAGATTTGCGGAATGTAGCATGTCTTTTGATCTCTGACTGCTGCTACAGACACCACAAATAGATGACCTTAACAAATAAAAATTTATATTACAGTTTAGGAGGCTCTCACTCTCTCACTGCTGTCGAGTTTATTATTGTTCATAGCTGATCCTCCACTGAATTTCCAAGGCTATATCACATGGGAGGAGATTGCTCAGCTTCCTCCTAAGCAGTATCTGGGGGATTTGGACTGCTAGTAAAGTGCAGCCTTTGAGTTAGCAGGAAAACACTGTTAGAGCCTGTACCACTAGATCTTCCTGGTAGGAGGCTAGAAGTCTAAATTCAAAGGAGACTGTTATTACCTTTAGCATCTAGAAGTCCTTCACTTCTTGGACAGTTCTGTGTGTCTCAGCCTGTCCCATGTATCAGGGAGCTTCCCAGTACAGTGACTTGGCTCCAAAGGGACATACTCACTCCTGGTGATTACTTCCTGGTAATGTTGAGGTCCCCCCTCTCTGCTTGCCTTCTCTCCTTTTATCTCTAGAGAGACTAAAATTTATATAGGGAAACTATCAAGGATCTCTGGTGGCCTACTGCTAAGGAGCTGTGCTACTAACTGAAAGGTACAAATCTACCAGCTGCTCTGTGGGAGAAAGAAGGGCTATCTCCGTCCATGCAACTTACTGCCTCTGAAAATCTGCTGGAGGACCCAACTACAGGTTGATTCGGTTTACTCCATGGCACACAACAACAGAAAAACTACCTTTACATTAGATCAGGGCTCTGATGGGATTAAGGACTGCTGTTGTGTTGTTATGTGCCGTCGAGTCGCCTACGACCCATAGTGACCCTATGTACAGCAGCTCTGAACCCTTCCCTGTCCCGAGCCAGTCACACTAATTTCGGCACACCAACCTCCATTATCTCAGTTACTGTATCTCAGTTACTGTATTTCTCATCCAGGGTCTTTCTCTCCTGCACTGTCCCTCCACCCATCTAAGCATGATGTTCTTCGCCAAGGACAGGTTTCTCCTGGCCACGTGCCCTAGGTATATGAGACGGACCTTCAAAATCCTAGCCTTCAAGGAGAAACTTGGTTTCACCCTTTCCAAGACAGACCTATTTGTTTTTTTGGCAGTCCATGGTATGTTCAAGACTCTTCTCCAGCACCACAATTTGAAGACATCAATGCTCTTTTTATGTTTCGTTTATTAGATTACAGTGGGTAAAACAATCCCAGTCTGTCATTATGTAAATTCAATTTAGAGAGATACAATTCAATCCACCACATTCTAACCTTTTGCCTCACAAAATCATGACCTTGTCACCTGCAAAGCACCCCATCATATGATTCCCAAAGTCTTAAAACAGGTTCAAGTCCAAATTCCATCCTGGGACAAAATTTTTCTTCTTCTGTGAATCTAAAATACAAGTTATCTGCTTCCAAAGTACTATGATAGAACAGATACAAAGTGGACAGTTCCATTACAAATGATAGATATTGGAAGGAAAGAAAGGGTAACAGCATCAGTTGTTGTTAGGTGCCATCAAGTCATCTATTGCTCATTTCAATTTAGTGAATAACAGATCTGAGCCTTGCCCTTTCTGTGCCATCCTCAACAAGCCCATTGTGGTAGTCACTATGTCAATCCATTTCATTGAAGGTTTTCTTCTCTTTCTCTGACCCCCTACATTTTCCAGCATGACTTTTCCCAAATTTGGCCCCTTCTGACGAGACACCCAGAGTGTGTATGGTGGAATTTTACCATCCTTGCCTCTAAGGAGCACTCTGATTGCATTTCCTCTAGAACAGATTTGTTTGTTCTTTTGACTGTGAGATATTCAATACTGTTGTATATAATGACATAATGCAGAAGCTAAGTAATAATTCCTATGATCTGATAAATCAAAAGTCGTTAAAAGATTAAGTTCAACGCCATAAATCCAATCTTTTCCAACCTCTACTTTTAAGCTCATTTTTCATACTTTGGGCATGTAGCTAGGCAAGTAATTCCTTGGAAAGGGACATGAAGTAGAGGAAGACCTACAACAAGACAGATTGATAACGATGACTTCAGCAATGGGTTCTAGTGTGTCAGAGATTATGAGAATAGCACAGGATAAGGCAGGGTTTAGGTCTGTTTATAGAGTTGCTGTGAGTCTCACTTAACTGGAAAGCACCTAACAACTCCTTATCTAATTTCAAAACTTCTTTTGAAATTTAGATATCTGTTAGAGATTAGTATCAAATTCTGATGTAGTTATCTAGTGCTGGTATAAAAAGAGATGTTGTTGTTATGTGCCGTCGAGTTGCCTGCGACTCATAGCGACCCTATGTACGACAGCCCTAAACTCCACTCTGTCCTGAGCCAATCGCACTGTCTCTGACACTCCCATCCCAATTATCCCAGTCACTGAATCAATCCACCTCATAGAGGGCCTTCCTCTCCTGCGCCGTCCCTCCACCCTCCCAAGCATGATGTCCCTCTCCAAGGACCGGTCTCTCCTCGCTACATGTCCAAAGTAAGTTAGACGGAGTCTCAGAATCCTTGCCTCCAAGGAGCCACCCGGTTTAACCCTCTCCAGGACAAATCTATTTGTTTTCCTAGCAGTCCATGGTATTCTCAATACTCTTCTCCAGCACCACAGCTCAAAGGCATCAGTTCTCCTTCTATCCTCCTTGGTCATTGTCCAACTCTCTGATGCATAACAGGTGATTGCGAAGACCATGGCCTGTATCAGACGCACCTTAGTCTCCAGAGAGACACCACTGCTCTTCAGCACTTTGGAGAGGTCCCTAACAGCAGACTTTCCCATGGCAATGCGCCTTTTCATTTCCTGGATGCTGGTGCCAAGACTGTTGACTATGGAGCCAAGCAAACTAAAGCTGTGTACAATCTCAATCTCTTCACCATCCATCCTGATGCTGCCGATTTGTCCAGTGGTGAGAATCTTTGTCTTCTTGACATTGAGCCTCAATCCATATTGCAGGCTGCAGTCCTTGACACTCTGCAGCAGGTGCTTCAGGTCCTCCTCAGTTTCAGCAAGCAGGGTTGTGTCATCCGCATAACGCAGATTGTTGATAAATCGTCCACCAATCCTGACCCCACATTTCTCCTCATAGAGCCCAGCCTCCCGGATAATCTGTTCTGCATATAGGTTGAAAAGGTATGGAGATAGGATGCATCCCTGGCGTACGCCCTTCCCAATTTTGTCCCTTGCTCTGTTCTGACGACTGCCTCCTGGTCCAAGTATAAGTTTCGCATTAGAACGATCAAGTGTTCAGGGATTCCCATTCTTCTCAGAGTCAGCCACAGTTTGTTATGATCTACACAGTCAAATGCCTTTGCATAGTCAATGAAACACAGATAGACATTCCTCTGGTATTCCCTGCTTTCAGCCAAGATCCATCTAACATCAGCTACAATATCTCTAGTACCACGACCCCTCCTTCTGAAACCAGCCTGGGCTTCTGGTAGTTCTCTGTTGATGTGCTGTTCCAGTCATTTTTGGATAATTTTCAGTAAAATCTTGCTTGCACGTGAAATCAGTGAAATTGTTCTGTAGTTTCCACATTAGGTTGGGTCACCTTTCTTTGGGATAGGAACAAATATCGATCTCTTCCAGTCAGTTGGCCAAGTGGTCGTTCTCCAGATTTCTTGGCACAACTTGGTGAGCACATCCAGGGCAGCATCTGTTAACTGAAATATATCAATTGGTATACCATCTATTCCTGGAGCCTTATTTTTGGACATGTCCTTCAAAGCAGCCTGAACTTCTTCTTTCATCACCATAGGCTCTTGCTCATATGTTGTTTCATGAAATTCTTCTGTGTCTTCCAATTCCACAAGTAAATTACTTTAACAAACAGAATTGCATTCTCTCATAGGTGGGGAGGCTAGAAGTCCAAATTCAGGGTGCACCTCTCTCTTGGAGAAGTCCTTGTCCCTGTCAGTTCTGGAAGAAGATCCTAGTTTCCTTCAGCATCTGTAAGCCCAGCATTCCTTGAAATCTGCATACATTTATATCAAGGAGCTTCCCAGCCCTAGAACTAGAATATAAAGGATACTCAATACTTGGTCTCCTTTCTTGGTGATGAGTGTCTACCTCCACCCCAGACTCTCTGCTTGTGTCTCTTTTTATTTGTTCTGAGACAAACAGCAAATCCAGGTTGTGATGAGATTAAAGGCTGCATTCCACCCTTCATCTTTTCATAATTATTGAAATTGTCAGATCATGGGGATCATTACATAGATTCCACATTACATCATTGACTACATGCATTTTTAGAGGACACAGTTCAATCCATGACAACTCCTTTTTGGAGTCAAAATCATGGTTTTCTAGCCTGAGGATGCTCAGCCAACTTAGAAATTAGAGGTTTTCCTGGTGCTGCATTTATATTACTTTAAAAAATAATCTTATTGGTTTTACTCAGAGAAGTCGGTGAAGTTGTAGAGTCCTCTTTTCCCCCTCAGTCTCCCCACTGTTTGCACCTTGCATTTCCTGTCCTCTGTTGAAATCATCACTGTTAACCACAATCCCATTCTCTGCTGCCAGAAGCAGCATCTTCTGAGACAGACACTACGGCTGTCAAAGTTTCACCAGCCTGCTCAGCCTAGGGTGGCTCCTGATGTTTCATAACCTTAATCTTCTCAAGGGGCCCAATCTAGCTTAATTCTGAATGATGGGAGAAAGATCTATCTAAATGCCTACATGCTTGAGAGTTGGTGAGGCCACAGACACCAACCAGATGAAATGTAAATGTCACTTCAGAGCTGTGTCTTGCACACTTTTCCATTCCACCCTACACTACCCAAGGCTCTTCCTACTGTTGTCCTGGACGCTGAGCATGCAGAGTACTGTTCACATCTTGAGCTAATAACATGGGCCTCCCTCTCCTGTTTGCCTTCATTTCCTCTCCATCTTCACTTCTTAAGCCTTGCCTCTTATGGTAGACGTATGTGGGGGTGTGAGTGAGATGCAAGTGCAGGAAGTCCAAATATGGGGATTCCAGGTGATTAAGTGCTGTGGGCATGTGTATATGGAAGCTCTCTGCAGGCTTTCACAAGAGGCCTATCCTGAGCAGCATCTGAAGGAGACCTAGTGTGGGTCACATGATGAACTATACATTTTCCAGAAAGGATTTTTTTTAAAGGGAAGCAGGTGACATTTGCACTTGCACACAACACAATTCCAGCACCTGTCCCTCAAATGCCCACTTTAAGTATTCAATGGTTGCCTGTGGACAGTGGCAGCCATCTCAGGTACGCAGAACCTGGCCATGGGGAGCAGCTGGGAGCTCCTCCTTAGGGACATTAATGCCAAACTGTGGCTTGATTACCAAAAGTATGATGCCAGAGAGTACTATGACCATCTCCTTGAGATGAGGCAGGCAGTAGACTAGGTTGACAGTGTATTCCTCTTTCCCAATAAGCCTAGCTTCTTCAAGGACATTGTTAACATGCTGATGCACAATGATAGGTAGGAGCCAGACCTATGGGCCTGACACAGGCCTGATGCTAGTGGTGCTGGCAGAAAGGACCTAACCAGGGTGTTGAGGGACGAAATGTTTAGAGGGAACTAGAGGATCCTTTTCTGTTCAGTGGGCCCTGACTGGCCAGAGCCGCAGAAACCAGAAGATAGGGCCACAACTAAATGAGTGCTGGAGCTAATGGTGGTCATGGCAGGGCCACTTCTGGACAGTGGGAAATATTTGTTTGACTTGGTGAATAAGTGTGACAGATCACAATGACACTGGGTGGTTAGGCCTTTGGTAGAGGGTCTCTCAAAAAGATGGGAAGACAGGACAATTCCGGAAATTTCTTTTTTTTTTTTTTTTTTTTTCAATTCCGGAAATTTCTGAGGAGGTCAGGTGAGGTGAGGAGAGTGCTCACATTGTGTACATGATGGCCCTTGCTGGTGTGTATAAATTACGATGGAAACAACACAGTGAGGACTTTAGTGCACTGCAGTTAACTTGATGAGGTCTCATGGAACAGGACTCATTTTATAAAAGGCAGTTCTGGTAGGGTAGTCCACAAGAGTTTCCCTGTGTTTTGTTTGTTTGTTTGGGATTTTTGTTGTTGCTATTTTTAATTCCAATAATATTTTATAGATATTTATCCAAATCATACATGGCATTTAGTTGTCATAGTTCTTAACCACCTCTAATCTTTCCTTGTCTTTCATAATAAATATTTTTGAAGAATACTTTGAAGTTATATAACTCTTTTTCTTCATCAAAATTTTAACCATAAATTAACTTATTTGATTTGTATAACCCAGAAATAATGTAGATATTTACAAAAAAATACTTAGAGGCAAAATCTTTAGAGAAATGTTTATAGAACTTTGCTCATAATCACCGAAAACTTGAAGCAATCCATGTGTACTTAAGCTGGTAAACAGATCCATTTTATATCTATTCATACAATGGAATACTACTCAGCAATAAAAAAGAAACGGCAAAGGAGGTTGAGTTTTCAAGTATGGAAATACAAAGGAAGAGGAACAGTTGTAAGCAGACACTGGTG